AGCCATCCTAGTGGGTGTGAAGTGGGTCTCCTTGTGGTTTTGGTAGTAGCCATCCTAGTGGCTGTGAAGTGTGAAGTGGGTCTCCTTGTGGTTTTGATAGTAGCCATCCTAGTGGCTGTGAAGTGGTGTCTCATTGTGCTTCTGGCTTGCATTTCCGTGACTTTGGCTCTCTCCCTTTCCGGCTGACCCTGGAGCACCCTGTACAGTCAGGCTGTAGACGTGGAGTCAGCTCTAGCAGGGTAGGTGTCCTGCAGCCCTCAGGCCCAGGCTGTTTACCACCTGACGTCCTGTGAATAGACCCACAGTGTGGTGCGTGTGGGAGCAGCCCACCATTGCCGTCTTTCATCTGTCAGTGGTAGGGTTTTGGTGACACTCAGGGCTGCACACAGGGAGTGTATGCTGTCTTGCCCACCCCTGGTCTCGCAGAGCGTGAGATTAGCCTAGCCCCTCCCTCCATGCTCACCTTTGACCTCCTGAGCTATGTAGGCCAACTCAGGTGAAACCTAGTTTCTTGCCCAGATTCTTATTTTTCATGGAGTGAAAGAAAATGGCAAGATTTATGAGCTTCTGATGGTTTCTACTGTTAGGTGTCGTTCAGTCGGTTCTGACTCACAGCGACCCTGTGTACACCAGAACAAAACACTGCCCGGTCCTGCGCGCTCCTCACAGTCTTTGTTCTGCGTGAGCCCGCTGTTGCAGCCACTGTGTCAGTCCATCGCATTGAGGGTCTTCCTCTTGTTTGCTGACCCTCTGCCTTACCAAGCATGATGTCCTTCTCCAGGGGGTCTCTACTAAATGAATAAAATACTCAAAACAGAAACTGCTCTTTATTTTTGGCATGACTAATAAACCTTGTCTTTGGAAATTTTCCTAGTGACTTTCCCTAGTCAGATAAAGACAGTGACACTGGCCATCGGGAGTTGCTGTGGCCTGGGGGAGCCCATGCCAGAGCCCCTTCCTGGGCAAGGCGGCCACGGCTCTTCCGGCATCACAGCAGCTTCCGGGTTCCTCCGCCCTCGCCCCTAGACCAGCCTCCTACAGCCCGTACAGCCCTGGCCCCCCAGGTGCCCACCCCAGCTCCAATCCCCGCGCTGTCTGGATTGGTTTTTTCACCCCTCCTGGCAGGTGGGTGCCCGGCCCGCTCAGTTCCATCTTCCATTTGGCTCCTGATCCAAGGCCCTCCTCCCTCTCCCTCGAAGGTGGACGTCACCTCTTGAGTGACCTAACTCTACCTGAACGTACTCTGTTAAACAGACTGAGCCCTGGACGCTGCTCAGCCAAGCCAACCTTCCGTGGTCAGGACCCATACTACTGCCAGGCGGCCAGTGGGTATGTGTCCAGCCCTGCACTCCGTGTTAATTCCCTCCTCGCCTAAATGTTTCAGCTCAGTCTGCTGTCTTTCTCTCCTTGGGAACACATCTTTTATTTTTACTACTCCAGTCAATACAAAAGGCAGAGTTCACTTTGCAGTTTAATTGCTTTGAGCACGTTTAGTAAACAGAGATGCGATTATCAGAATTTTCCCTGAACATGACCTAGAAGATGTACTTCTACCCAGGTTGGATACTCTGGTTTGAAATTTTGACTCATCAGATGGCTGACTCAGCATTATTTACATTTTAATAATAGAGAAAGAGACCAGATACATTGTGAGCAAATTTCCTTCTATATTTTGAGAATCTGTATCAGAGCAGAATACGGGTCTATTTCTATTTTGCAGTGAATAGTTTCTAGCCGTGGAATTGCTGGCAGAGGCAAAAAAGTATGAATCCTGTTTTTGTGGATCTCGCCAAGAAAGAGAACGTAAACTTGGAGAAGGGTGTCATTCGCCATTCACAGTCTAATGAAACACTCAGAGAGGCTGGAAACGCCCCGTAAAAGTTCTGACATCAGCGTTTAAGATACAGCAAGATGGGGCACACAGGCATTTCAGAGATTGACAGCTCACAGTTTACTGGCACTCGGAATGCTCTGAATCTTGTACTAGCAATCACAATCTTGATTTTATTACCCAGGGGGGCCCCTTATGAGGAGTGTGTTGGTGCAAGGTGCTTTCAGCAAACTCTGGGAGCCGCTCCTGCTTCCCTTCTGCCAACTGACGGAAGAAAGGTGGCGCAGTTACCTTAGCAAATCTGAAGGGCCCTCCGCTCAGACCCAATGGCCAGTTAGCCCCACGGTGTCTGAAAATGATAGAATAGTTTAATGTGTTCTTTGGAAATAAGGCCACAAGTTGGTCATACTGAGTGTTGTCCATGGGCAAGCATTTGTGGCTCCTCCAGGGGGCTGAGCTGGTGCCAGACTGGCTTCTCTGCACAGGGGACAAGGGGCCGAGCTGGTGCCAGAATGGCTTCTCTGCAC